TGGTAGCCTTGTCTCAGCTCCTTGATTTTCACGCGGCACTGCGTTGCATCCCGGCTGTAGCCTCTCTCTGCCATGGCTTTGGAGATCTTCTCGTAGATCTTAGCATTCCTTCTTTTGGAGCGCAGCTCTGAAAGCACGGACTCATCGCCCCACACTGCGATGAGATCCAAGACTTCCCGATCAGTCCATGCTGGGGCCCTCTTTCTATTAGATTGCACGGCCATCTCTGCTGGAGAGCTCTGCATAGTTGCCACTGCTGCTGAGCTCCCCTCGATGTCCAAAGAGGAACTGAGATTCAAACTGCCCAGACAGGAAAATGAAAATGAATTCAAATTTTCCCGGGGGTGTGGCTGGTCAGAGCATCCGAGCTCGGACTGCTGTCCAGAGCGTCAACAGAGTGGTGCACTGTGGGATAGCTCCCGGAGCTATTACCGTCGATTTCCATCCACACCTAGCCTAATTCGATATGGCCATGTCGAATTTAGCGCTAATCCTCTCGTTGGGGAGGATTACAGAAATCGATTTAAAGAGAGCTTTATGTCGAACTAAATGGCTTCCTGGTGTGGACGGGTGCAGGGTTAATTCGATATAACGGCGCTAAAGTCGACATAAAAGCCTAGTGTAGACCAGGCCTTAGATGAGAGAGTGCATCAACCCTGCACTAATCACACATTTCTGAGCAGCGTGGCTGGTGATGCACCTTGAGTTTAAAAGTCACACTGCCCCCCCGGAAAGCATGAACTGGCAATACTGCCATCACTGCCAGTAACTCCTAAAATTGCTGCAGCTGAAAGAGAAATGTATAGGAAAAAATGTTTGTTTTTTACTATTTTTCCCTTTGTTTGCTTTGCGCAAGTGACAGCACTGTGACTATAGATGGTTTCCCTAACAGTTGTCTGGGTCTTTTACAGAGTAACAGTGAAGAATAAACTATTTTAAAAACAGGAGGCTGTAGGGGCAGGTGTGGCGATTGGATTTTTAAATTTTTAACAGCAAACAATGGATTAGATTTCAAGTTGATGGTGCCCCTTTAACACTGTTTTCCTTGTAAAACAATAAAAACAGCCCCTCTTTACTAGCCTCTCAGGAACAAACAGTAATGAGCTAAATTAACAAACATGGGCATCGCCACAGAAGAGCCAGACCTGGGTTCTATCTCCCTCTTTGCCTGCTGTCCGATAACATTTCCAGCCTCGCTTACCCACCAGGTTGCAATCCTGCCCATTGAAGTCAATGGGAGTTTTGCTGTTGACAACAAAATGCTATTTTCCCCATGCTTTGTGATGCATCTCAATGGTCCTGCTGTTTGATAGCATGGTTGTTTTGCAGGTGGACGATGATGGTAGCAGTAAGCACAAACCCGGATGAGGAGAGACACAAACAATGGAGGCACCAACACCAGAGCCTGTGTATGTTGATGTGGACAAAGGACTAACATTAGCATGTTTCGTCTTCCTTTGCCTTTTCTTGATCGTGATGATTATTCGCTGTGCAAAAGTCATCATGGACCCTTACAGTGCCATCCCAACTTCCACATGGGAGGAGCAGCACCTGGATGACTGAAAGGGACACTGCGGGAAGCTTTCACAGCACAACCTGGAAGGCCTTTTCATTCAGAGAAGGTGAATGTATATTAAACCGAGATACAGAGGGGTGCAAATACAGCATATTGGTTAAATTTTCTTGCATAGCAGGTTGTAGACATCATTGTGTCCCTATCTGATGGTACAGCCTATTTCTGTTATAACCTTCACATATTAACAAGAGAAATTATGATTGTAACTTGAATAGCACAAAAGCTTTCTAGGCAATAAGGCTCCCTTAAAGCTTCTAATATAAACCTCAACCTGGCATTCTTTTTCCTTAGACAATATTCCTTATATTGTTTCCAATAAATAAGGGGATGGATAGCTATCAGTACTTGGAAAAGCAATAAGGGCATTTGATCTTTCTTTGACAATGGGTTGCTTACAATATGTTTGTCAGTTATTTTTGTGTGGTTCTTAAGGCTATGAAAATGCCACACCTTATAGGTGTGCAAAGTCTAAGGCTATGAAAAATGCCACACCTTATTGGTGTGCAAAGTCTCCTGGGAATTTCTGCCCCTGGGATGGCAGTGAATGTAAGTACTAAAAAGGCACATACGGCGGAGTAGAGAGGTGTGCACAAACTTTTTCTTGGCTAACTGAGTTCTAGGCACACGCTTTCCCCTGCGGTATTTTGGAAATGTACTTCCAAGGGTCAGGATTATGAAATACACAAAACTTGTGATGATTTTCAAATGAGCAGATGTACAATTGCTCCCCTCTTTTGTTTACAGTTAAGAGTCAGCCTTGCTCCTACCCATCTGGGTTGCACAAGATTAAAGGAACAAAGGCAAGAGAAGAAGAGACGTAACTCAGAACTAGCTACTCTAGATAAGATGGGGTTATATTTTTCTACTGGTCAGTAAGAAAGAAGAGTATTTAGCAACAACTTATAACATGCATTCTGCTGTGGCGAAATTAAGTACCTTTAATAGAAGAACTTTTCACAACATTGTAATATAAATATCTTCCCAATTTCCCCCCTTAACCATTCACTAATTATTGCAGATAAGGAGGAGAAAGGGATTCAAAGAGCTTCCAGACTATATTGTGCAGCTTTGAGGTTTGGAGGGAAAGGAATTCCCTCTGAAAAATAAATCCCAGGTTCTTTATTCCCTGAAGACTTTCAATCCGGTCTCTGTTGCAAAAATTCACCCACAGCTGCCTTCCTGAAGTGACGACAGGTTTTGCTCAAGGGAGTCCAAGGAACTACTGGAGTAATAAGGAGTTTACCCTACAGGAGTCATGCTGCAGATGCTAGGTTTCAACTAGAGCTGTCATGGGTGCATCCGTGAGGAACCAGTTTCCACCAAACTTGGAGGTATCCAACTACCCACACACAGAGGGGGGTATTTAGCTATTTGCCCCCTATATTTCCAACTCCATTACCATGCTGCCAGGTGCCTTTCCCTGATAAGATTGCCTCCATGTGGTGGGATGCATTGTATAGGAAGGGGGTATCCAATGGTTGGAGCAAGGAATTAGGAATCAAGGTTCCTTGGTTTCTAGTCTCAGCTCTGTCGCAGATGTGTTACATGACCAGACAAGTTGCTTCATTTCTCTATGCCTCACTTTACTCATCTGTCAACTGAGCCACAGTAATATTTGCCTGCCTCCCACTGTGCTCTGAAGCTTAATCAAGATCAGCAAAGCACTTGGAGATCCGTAAATAAGAAGCACTGCATATAGATACAAAGTATTAATTTATTGTTACTTGTGAAGTTGGAATAAAGGGAGTGGTGGAGACTCATTATAGGGTAGGTTAAATTCCCCCCATTTCAGAGGAACCCCATAAGGTGCTCTGCACCATTTAGCCCCTGCCTTAAGGACCAGATTCTGCTGTTCTTACTCCTGGTTGTTAGCACCTTGCTCCATTAATCATCCCATTGGTTTCAGAGTGATTCTTTGTGGAGTAAGATGCTATTCCACATGATTAAGGGCATCCAAATCTGGCTCTAAGAGGTGTGGAGAGCATCGTGCAGAACTTCTCCACTGAGATGAATTTCACCCTCGGTTCATTTCTGGTGTTCGTTTGGGAGAAAGGAGTTTACTATAAATGCTAGGACCTACCTGGATAGTGCAGCTCTCTGCCCAGCTACCTGACCTGGTTGAATTACCCATTGCCAGTAATTTAGCTGACAAGTTTAGCTCTTGTTTCTGTTGGTCAGTTATCCTCAAACTGGTTGTGGATTTTTACAATGTGAACATTATTCAACATAGTGTGTGCAAACAAATGGTCGTCTATTTTGTTCCTGGCTAGGGCACTATGAGTATCTCTTTATACTATATGAATTATTGCCTAGGTCACATGGTATTGTTTCTGCTCCCTGACTGGGTGGCTCAATTTTGTCAGCTGTAGTCACGTTGAATAGTATCTTACAATGAGTTTACTGGGACTACTTGCAGAGTCCAACAGGAGTAAGGGGAACAGAATCAGTCCCATGATTGGCAAGAGTCACTTTTTTGTTCGGGAGTTATCTGCGCGCATAACTGCTCGGCCAATCGACAGTGCAAATGAGGCTTGCGATAGCCATTTTCAGCGTGAACACACTGGTGAATGTTTATCTGCACCCATGACACTTCGGCTTACTGTAGGATCCACCAATAGGACCCCAATCCAGCAAAACACGTAACCACCTTAGAGTTGCTGTTTGGGAATTCAATACAAGGGAAGCTACCTATGGATATTTCTATTTTCTACTAATAATGCATTTCTGTTTCAGCTGTAACCTCCCTTGATTCATCCTTCTGTTGGTAAAAGGAGAATTCCTCATGCTCATTAGGATTTCCATAAGCATCTACCCAGTCATCTAAGACCTTTCCATTTGAAGTTCATATCTACACATGGCTATTTCATTTCTTCATTGACCATGCAAACAAGACCTGATTTCTGCATCCCAGTCTGCTGCCACCTCACTCGCATAACCCCCCAGGTTTCTTTGGGGCTATCAGTAAAAGGCAATGCTAACTTCTGTGCCAAAAGCAAAAACACTCCTTATTTCTTGCCTTCTGAGTGTCCACTTGGCAATTTCTCTCCTGTCCTTTAATCAGCACCCATTACTCTACTGCACACATAATCCTGATCCTGCAATCCCAACATCATGGAACTTCCCTTGAAGTCAATGGAAGTTTTGTGTTAGAAACAGCTGCAGCGTTGAGCATAGATAACAATTTAAACTGCATGTAACAAGTGCCTCGGCTACTTCATTGTATTTTAAATAATTATTCTCTACTTACAATCAGAAAACCTACTCATCTTGTAGTGAATGTGTTTATCTAATACAATAAACGGCCTCAACACAGAACTTGTTTTTGTTGTCTTTTAAAAATAAGGCCGTTCTGGTTCTCGTCTGGTCTTCACAATCCATTCTGCTGGGCTCTACTGTCTGAATTGTTCATTGGGCTATAAAGGACTAGATTGTAACTTTATCCTCTACCCTGAGTAAGAGGTGGCAAGTAGACCAGAGACTGAGTCACAATTCCCTGCCTCTTTGGTCCAAGAGAAGAGTAGGTTACTTCACGCCTTTCATGGAGCAACTTCACTTCCCACAGCTACTATGTCTGGCAAATGGGAGCCCCTCCCACTGTCCCCGCAGTTGTCTACATCCTTCTCTTCCAGCTTGCTCACAGCCCAGTGTGTCAGACAAGTAGCCAGTGCTCTCCTCACCATTCTGGAGTCACAATCTGAGCAGGGCCAAGCTAGGGGAGTCAGAGGGAACTAATTCCCCTGTAGCCCCTGTACTTGTGAGTAAGAGCTGTGACAATCTAGCCCAAAGAGAGGTGTCCCCATGGTAGAATTATGGGGGCAATTTCTAAGGGACATGGTATTTTGTGGGCCAGATTTTCAAAGCTGGGGTGAACTGGGGCACAGTTGTTCTCGCTGCCCCTGCAAAATCCACCTTTGTGCATGTAGCTCGCCCATGTAAGCACCTTGTCTGCACTAACAAGTGGCCAGTTGCATGCACGTGCTTGTCCTGGTGCAACTGCTGCACCCATCTTTGAAGATCTGGCCCTTTGTACCTTGATCCTTTGCAATTTTAACCCTATTGCATAAGGGGGGAGGTATGTGGACAAGGATTCTAGGCAGGTGCAACTCAGTTAATGTATCATCTAAAATAATTTCATGGTACAAAGAGATTCTTTTTTATTCCCCTAGTTTCATTTAGCAAAATCAATTTGGCACCAATGAAACCTGCAGCTATGACCACTTTGTTTTACACTAGCAGGATTACGGCGGCAGGACTTCTAGAATTCCCTGAGTAAATCTGTCACTGCTCTTTAATAACTGTAAAAGAAACAGGAGCTTCACAGCACATAACAGGCAGCTACAAATCCTTGCCTCTGAAATGGTCCCACCGAGAATGTGTGAAGTCCTGAAAGCTTTGGTAAAAAAAAATTAATGTTTGCACGATGGTCTGGCTTCACAGGCTTAACAAGGGGAGAAGATCAGGGAACCCATTCCAATGGTGGGCCTTTAACGTTTCAACGCGCAAGAGCAATTGAATAAAACAATATGTTTGTGAGCTGTGGAACCTCTGGCGTTTCTAAGCCTACCTGCCTTTCTCAAATAACAGCAGTGATGAGGTACGATCATCATTTTATACAACCACTTCCAGATGGCCTGTTCACCAGATACGTAGAGGAGATCTCACAGATAATGGGCTCTAAGTGTTCATAAGTATGGGCTGGAGTGTTCCTGCATAAAGGGACATGGAAGGCAGCAGCTGTAGGCAGAGCTGCTCCTCCTCCCTACACTGGGGTGGGAGTAATTAGTACCATCCCCCTTTCCCTAGACAGTACAGGGGTTCACACATAAGGAGCGGGGGGGGGGGGGGGATTGGAGTTAGAGCAGGGGAGTGGCCACTCGCTGTAGTGCTGTTCCCTGTAGACTCTCTCTGGAAATCACGAGGGAGCTAATTCTGTCCCAAGAGGTCCTGTGACCTCTAAGGTTGGAGGCCAACCTTTGCCAGACAGCCATTCTGATGTCCCTTCCCTGGTCAGCTGTGTAAGAGGGGTGCTGAGGTTAACCCTT